TCCCAGCGTGCGGCTGGCATCCACCGCCTTGAGCTCCCAGCTCCCCCTGTCTGCCGTCGTCTTTCTAAGGTCGATGCACACGATTTTCAGCGCATCGGTGGCATCCTCTGCCTTGAGCTTCAAGCTGTCTCTGTCCGCCGTCCTCTTTTCAAGGTCGTTGCGTACGCTTCCCAGCGTGCGGCTGGCATCCACCGCCTTAAGCTCCCAGCTCCCCCTGTCTGCCGTCGTCTTTCTAAGGTCGATGCACACGATTTTCAGCGCATCGGTGGCATCCTCTGCCTTGAGCTTCAAGCTGTCTCTGTCCGCCGTCCTCTTTTCAAGGTCGTTGCGTACGCTTCCCAGCGTGCGGCTGGCATCCACCGCCTTGAACTCCCAGCTCCCCCTGTCTGCCGTCGTCTTTCTAAGGTCGATGCACACGATTTTCAGCGCATCGCTGGCATCCTCTGCCTTGAGCTTCAAGCTGTCTCTGTCCGCCGTCCTCTTTTCAAGGTCGTTGCGTACGCCTCCCAGCGTGCGGCTGGCATCCACCGCCTTGAGCTCCCAGCTCCCCCTGTCTGCCGTCGTCTTTCTAAGGTCGATGCACACGATTTTCAGCGCATCGCTGGCATCCTCTGCCTTGAGCTTCAAGCTGTCTCTGTCCGCCGTCATCTTTTCAAGGTCGTTGCGTACGCCTCCCAGCGTGCGGCTGGCATCCACCGCCTTGAGCTTCCAGCTCCCCCTGTCTGCCGTCGTCTTTCTAAGGTCGATGCACACGATTTTCAGCGCATCGCTGGCATCCTCTGCCTTGAGCTTCAAGCTGTCTCTGTCCGCCGTCATCTTTTCAAGGTCGTTGCGTACGCCTCCCAGCGTGCGGCTGGCATCCACCGCCTTGAGCTCCCAGCTCCCCCTGTCTGCCGTCGTCTTTCTAAGGTCGATGCACACGATTTTCAGCGCATCGCTGGCATCCTCTGCCTTGAGCTTCAAGCTGTCTCTGTCCGCCGTCCTCTTTTCAAGGTCGTTGCGTACGCCTCCCAGCGTGCGGCTGGCATCCACCGCCTTGAGCTTCCAGCTCCCCCTGTCTGCCGTCGTCTTTCTAAGGTCGATGCACACGATTTTCAGCGCATCGCTGGCATCCTCTGCCTTGAGCTTCAAGCTGTCTCTGTCCGCCGTCCTCTTTTCAAGGTCGTTGCGTACGCCTCCCAGCGTGCGGCTGGCATCCACCGCCTTGAGCTCCCAGCTCCCCTTGTCTGCCGTCGTCTTTCTAAGGTCGATGCACACGATTTTCAGCGCATCGCTGGCATCCTCTGCCTTGAGCTTCAAGCTGTCTCTGTCCGCCGTCATCTTTTCAAGGTCGTTGCGTACGCCTCCCAGCGTGCGGCTGGCATCCACCGCCTTGAGCTTCCAGCTCCCCCTGTCTGCCGTCGTCTTTCTAAGGTCGATGCACACGATTTTCAGCGCATCGCTGGCATCCTCTGCCTTGAGCTTCAAGCTGTCTCTGTCCGCCGTCATCTTTTCAAGGTCGTTGCGTACGCCTCCCAGCGTGCGGCTGGCATCCACCGCCTTGAGCTCCCAGCTCCCCCTGTCTGCCGTCGTCTTTCTAAGGTCGATGCACACGATTTTCAGCGCATCGCTGGCATCCTCTGCCTTGAGCTTCAAGCTGTCTCTGTCCGCCGTCCTCTTTTCAAGGTCGTTGCGTACGCCTCCCAGCGTGCGGCTGGCATCCACCGCCTTGAGCTTCCAGCTCCCCCTGTCTGCCGTCGTCTTTCTAAGGTCGATGCACACGATTTTCAGCGCATCGCTGGCATCCTCTGCCTTGAGCTTCAAGCTGTCTCTGTCCGCCGTCCTCTTTTCAAGGTCGTTGCGTACGCCTCCCAGCGTGCGGCTGGCATCCACCGCCTTGAGCTCCCAGCTCCCCCTGTCTGCCGTCGTCTTTCTAAGGTCGATGCACACGATTTTCAGCGCATCGCTGGCATCCTCTGCCTTGAGCTTCAAGCTGTCTCTGTCCGCCGTCCTCTTTTCAAGGTCGTTGCGTACGCCTCCCAGCGTGCGGCTGGCATCCACCGCCTTGAGCTCCCAGCTCCCCCTGTCTGCCGTCGTCTTTCTAAGGTCGATGCACACGATTTTCAGCGCATCGCTGGCATCCTCTGCCTTGAGCTTCAAGCTGTCTCTGTCCGCCGTCATCTTTTCAAGGTCGTTGCGTACGCCTCCCAGCGTGCGGCTGGCATCCACCGCCTTGAGCTTCCAGCTCCCCCTGTCTGCCGTCGTCTTTCTAAGGTCGATGCACACGATTTTCAGCGCATCGCTGGCATCCTCTGCCTTGAGCTTCAAGCTGTCTCTGTCCGCCGTCCTCTTTTCAAGGTCGTTGCGTACGCCTCCCAGCGTGCGGCTGGCATCCACCGCCTTGAGCTCCCAGCTCCCCCTGTCTGCCGTCGTCTTTCTAAGGTCGATGCACACGATTTTCAGCGCATCGCTGGCATCCTCTGCCTTGAGCTTCAAGCTGTCTCTGTCCGCCGTCATCTTTTCAAGGTCGTTGCGTACGCCTCCCAGCGTGCGGCTGGCATCCACCGCCTTGAGCTCCCAGCTCCCCCTGTTTGCCGTCGTCTTTCTAAGGTCGATGCACACGATTTTCAGCGCATCGCTGGCATCCTCTGCCTTGAGCTTCAAGCTGTCTCTGTCCGCCGTCCTCTTTTCAAGGTCGTTGCGTACGCCTCCCAGCGTGCGGCTGGCATCCACCGCCTTGAGCTTCCAGCTCCCCCTGTCTGCCGTCGTCTTTCTAAGGTCGATGCACACGATTTTCAGCGCATCGCTGGCATCCTCTGCCTTGAGCTTCAAGCTGTCTCTGTCCGCCGTCCTCTTTTCAAGGTCGTTGCGTACGCCTCCCAGCGTGCGGCTGGCATCCACCGCCTTGAGCTCCCAGCTCCCCCTGTCTGCCGTCGTCTTTCTAAGGTCGATGCACACGATTTTCAGCGCATCGCTGGCATCCTCTGCCTTGAGCTTCAAGCTGTCTCTGTCCGCCGTCATCTTTTCAAGGTCGTTGCGTACGCCTCCCAGCGTGCGGCTGGCATCCACCGCCTTGAGCTTCCAGCTCCCCCTGTCTGCCGTCGTCTTTCTAAGGTCGATGCACACGATTTTCAGCGCATCGCTGGCATCCTCTGCCTTGAGCTTCAAGCTGTCTCTGTCCGCCGTCCTCTTTTCAAGGTCGTTGCGTACGCCTCCCAGCGTGCGGCTGGCATCCACCGCCTTGAGCTTCCAGCTCCCCCTGTTTGCCGTCGTCTTTCTAAGGTCGATGCACACGATTTTCAGCGCATCGCTGGCATCCTCTGCCTTGAGCTTCAAGCTGTCTCTGTCCGCCGTCCTCTTTTCAAGGTCGTTGCGTACGCCTCCCAGCGTGCGGCTGGCATCCACCGCCTTGAGCTTCCAGCTCCCCCTGTCTGCCGTCGTCTTTCTAAGGTCGATGCACACGATTTTCAGCGCATCGCTGGCATCCTCTGCCTTGAGCTTCAAGCTGTCTCTGTCCGCCGTCCTCTTTTCAAGGTCGTTGCGTACGCCTCCCAGCGTGCGGCTGGCATCCACCGCCTTGAGCTCCCAGCTCCCCCTGTCTGCCGTCGTCTTTCTAAGGTCGATGCACACGATTTTCAGCGCATCGCTGGCATCCTCTGCCTTGAGCTTCAAGCTGTCTCTGTCCGCCGTCATCTTTTCAAGGTCGTTGCGTACGCCTCCCAGCGTGCGGCTGGCATCCACCGCCTTGAGCTTCCAGCTCCCCCTGTCTGCCGTCGTCTTTCTAAGGTCGATGCACACGATTTTCAGCGCATCGCTGGCATCCTCTGCCTTGAGCTTCAAGCTGTCTCTGTCCGCCGTCCTCTTTTCAAGGTCGTTGCGTACGCTTCCCAGCGTGCGGCTGGCATCCACCGCCTTGAACTCCCAGCCAGAGTGTCGAACCGATATTTTTATCGGTTCGGTTCGGGTTCGGGTTCATGACTTTTGGTTCAGTTCCGGTTCAGTTCCGGGGCGCAAAAAATAACGGTTCAAACCGGTTCGAACCGGTTCGAACCGGTTTAACCCGCTAAATTGAGAATATATTTTCCGCGTTGTTCGGTCAATAGGCACTATTTACGCCGTGAAACTAACTACTGTAAACGACCTAATTTTTGCGAGGGCCTAATTTGTCAGAGTTTTGCGAATCGCCTAATATTCGCGAAAAATGGGTGCCGCGAACACTTTTGGTTAAATGTAAACAGATTGGATTTTATATTGAGATTCCACCGCGTCGCGGAAATTACAACCTGCGAGTTATTCCAAAACTTCAGCTTTGACCTAAATCGCGAAATATTGAGTCCACGAAAAATAAGTCATTTACAGTATATAGCTTTTTTTCTATCGTTTTTTAATCCAGTTTTATTTTCACGTACCAAAATCATAAAATTATGTTACTTATTTCCCCACAACAAGAAAAGTAAATCTACATTAACATACAAAACTTCGTGTTTATACGACTCAACATCCCTTCGTTTACCAGAGTCACATATATTGTACCTGAATCGAAAAGTTTTCGCGAAGTGAGGTAGGTTGTCTAAAAAACCCGTGATTGGTGCAACTCTGCATCGCAGCATTAGAAGTTGAATCGTGGTTTTGCCCTTAAACTAAGAAATTAATTACAGTGCATAAAATATTGAAATGGGCACCTCGTTGCCATATATATTATGAAATGTGTTTTACAAAATACATTTCACAATATTTATATATATGATAACGACACGACTGAGCTTAAATCAATAAAATTTTTTAAATGTCACGATAGTGACAGGACAAGCCCTTCCAGTCTATATTTTATAGAAACACTAAGCGACAATCGCTATGCTTCTTTTTCTAACCAGCGTTGTTAGCTCTCAGCACCATAATCCGGGCGACGAATCATGCAAAAAGGAGTGACTGAAATTGTTCACTCTAATCCATAAGCACCTTCGTACGGAGATCGAATTGGGCCTTAAACAGTGCTTACCCTAGTGAACATTTTCTTATTCGCGACTCCAGCTTTTTGCTCGCCCTCTCGCGGCGGAAACCGGAACCACGATAGCGAGGGTCCCCGGAAGGCTGGTATGGCGGATCCCAGCGATAATTGCGTTCGTCCGTCGAAAAGAACTGCTTCTAAATCCAAACGGCACTGTTCGGTGCCCCAGTGTACCGCTGCGGTATGGAAAGATAACGGTGAATCGTTTCACCGCTTCCCCAACCTCAAGGAAACGTGCAGAAGAGGCTCCGACATCGTCAACCGACGCGAAGAGTGGGCGCGACTTCTTCGGACAGGGAAGACCGTCACCGAAGCGATGACGGTGTGCTCGCGGCATTTCTCTGCGAGCGACTTTTTATTGCCAGGTAAGAGTGTGCGGATTTGTGGAGATGTATATATATCTCGCTTTTTGGCTTTAGATGGTTCGGGGACTTTGTGCGGTGGCGTACACAATAAGAAACAACACATCCTCCATTGAATATTTTGCCCATTCTGTAGCGCAGTAGAACTCTTCACGCTGATTCAACTAGTTTTCTTGAACGCGCCTATGATCGAGAACATTTTCCGTTTTAGTTCTTTGCACTCGATCATCGTTACGTACGGCGAAGTGGAGCGCGTAAAAGAGAATCGCGCTCATCAGCCTGGAGCAGTCTTCGGTACGGCACGCTCGATGTGGAATCGGGCGCGAGATTATTCCGGCACAATTAGCAGTGCACTTCTTTAATCTGAAGAGCTTTTCTTCTAACTGATCCAAATTTGCCAGAAGTGAAACGGAGGTTTCTCTTCTGCTCTTAGTTCTGATTACTTTTGAGCCCTGTACCCTCACAATGCGCGTGCAGTAGTTTTTCTCTCCTAAAATGACCGATTTCAGTTTGATTGCTTTTGCAAGCGATACACACCTACTCAGAGTCCCAGGAAACATGGGCTTAATTTCATTTTCTGGAATTTGCTCATTTTAGAGTAAAGTTTCGAATCAGAAGGCCAAAATGTTTTGTTTGCTTTCTGAAATGAGTCACTCTTCAAACTACTTCAGTCCCCATTATGTGATTATCATATCGTTCTTTATTTCCTCCAGGACATGCAACTCAAAGACGCCGTCTTAAGAGAGGAGTGGTACCCTCCCAGAACCTCCCTGTTCTTTCAACTGAAAACAAGGAGAACAGGAAGAGGTTGCGGGAAGTAAGCGAAGGCCGCCAGAAGCGACGCGATAAGAGAGCAGCAGTAAAGCCTCTGTTAGCCAAGGTAAATGCATGTCTCGCACAGTCTTTATTTTACTTTCCTATCAATTCAGTTTCTCATAAAAAGTTCAGGTTGATGTGCACACCTTAACACCTGTGACTCAGAAAGTGTGTATAAATATGCCTAAACTTTATTCCAGGTTGCACTCTGCGAAGCTGAGAAGTCCTGCAATCAAGTGGACGACAACGCAGAGTCGGTTGAAGATCATGAAGACAGGGCAGAGTCGGCCGAGGATGGTGAAAGCAGCACAGTGCCCCTGCCTGTTGCGTCGCCAGTGGTCCTCCTTGACATGGGTGTACAGGTGTCAAGTGGGGACTTTGGCGACAACTTTTCTCGTGTGGTAAATAAGGAAAATGTGTGTTCCTTTACCGGCCTTCCCAACATGGAGCTTCTCACTGTTCTAGAGAAGCTCGTGTCTGATACGACGCCCACATCAACACGAGCTTACCTGTCAGCAAAAGACAAAATAGTCATGACTATGATGGCCTTGAAACATGCTCTAACATTTGACTTCCTGTCTCAGATCTTTGGAGTGTGTCCGACCACAGTGAGCACCACTGTACGGAAGACAACAAGGGTCCTTGCGGCATTTCTTAAGACTGCCATAACTTGGCCATCCAAGGATGAAGTTCTGCATAACTTGCCGGTCTGTTTTGAGAAGTTTTCGCATGTTCGTGTTGTGCTCGACTGCACGGAAATTCCTGTGGGCACTCCGAAGTGTTTGAGGTGTCGCATCAGCACATACTCCCATTACAAAAAGGGACACACCATAAAATATATGGTAGGTGTTTCACCTGGTGGTTTAGTGACCTACGTCAGTAGTGGTTACGGAGGTCGAGCCTCGGACAAGGCTATCTTCGACCAAAGTGGTTTGGTAGATATGCTCTTGCCAGGAATAGACCACATAATGGTGGACAAGGGGTTTCTCATTGACAGCACATGCGAAACAAGGCTGATAGCTGTGGTGAGGCCCCCATTCCTACATGCAAAAAAGCAGCTCTCAAAGGGTGAAGCCCTTGCAACAAAGCGCATAGCAGCAGCAAGGGTTCACGTGGAGAGGGTGATTCAAAGAATCAAGCTGCTCAAGATTGCATCTCAAAAGATGCCCTGGCACATGGTGCCACTAGCAGATGACATTCTTACCATTGCATGTGCCTTAACCAATTTGTCTCCACCAGTTCTCGCAGACAGCAGGTTTCTTTAAGCTTTTCATAAAGGGACGGGGCTTTGGTTAGCTTAAGAGGTAAGCACGCACTTTTCAGTCGAGATCAGAAATAAAACCTTTTTTTTTCCTCAAAAGAATTGAGGTTTAATTTACATCACCTGGGGACATTTTTGGATATATATATTTTTTATTAATTTAAAGTATAACAGGCTAAACCAAAACTGTGTGTCTTTTGGCTGTTCTGCAGCATTGCTATCAAGGTAAGAATGTCATGAGTTTTGCTGCAAGATGACGTCTTCAGTATGAAGGTGGTGTACTGTGAACAATTTAGTTTTGAACCCCTGCACAAAATTGCCCCTTGTTTGTATTGGATTGCCGCAAAATTGCCAAAACTGTTTGCATGTGTATTAATGTAAAGTATAGCTTTAAGTTTTAAAATGTGTATAATTTGAAGTATGTCAATTTGTGATAAATATGTATTCTATGCTTCGTGCTTTACCGCCGAGGCCTGTGAGCTGTTTGTAAGCACGCGAAAATAAACACTGAATTGAATCATCCCTGCTACAATTGTTAGTACTTTATCGCACTTGCTTCTGTCACCCTGAAGCGATTCTGCAAAACGCTGCTTTGTTGGTGTAGCCTTTCAAGACTTCACTTTCAAAGCTTCATATTGACTCCATATTTTGTTATGTGTGGCCTGCATGTCTATGTTAACATGTGTTATTATCACCATAGTGATATTATATCAATGGCTCACCTCTCTACCTCACTCGTTGCATTACCTTGTGTCACCGTGAAGCAATCCTGCCAGGCACGTAGCCAGGATTGTTTTTTTTTTTTTTTGGGGGGGGGGGGGCCGTAAGCTGAGAGACTTGCCTTGTGCAGGCAGTGAAATGTTTCTTAGTGAAATATCGGCTCTCACTCTGAGAGCAGGACATTCTTCTGTAACATCTTAGGCCAGCTTCAAGCACTTTCGTGATCCATTTGGCCTTCACACTTGTCTGGTAGTGCCCAATGCGAGGAGATGGCAGCAAATGCCAAGGAACAAACACTAGGTAGCAATGTTTTGTTACAAAGGCATTGCAGTACAAGTTACACGAGACACAGAGGAAGCTGGTCTCTGAGGGACACAAGTTTTTGAGTGAAACTTGAGTTTCTTTGTGTAGATTTATTATTAATAAAATATTGCACACTTCTATACAGTTGCTTTCATGCAAGCATCACAGTAAGGAAATTTCAACTTGTTGAAGACAGGTACTAATTCTACAATTTACACGGTGAATGAAGATGCCTGTTTAAGAGTTTAGGATAAATTTTTGTAATTTTGTTCAACATGCATGTTTAGAATGTGAAAGCACCGGTTCTCCTTTGAAAGTTAAATCTAGAAAAAGGTAGGAACAGCGTATGACCACAAAACTTCCTTTTTCTCGAGATGGTGATGAGCGTAGAACATTCACTTTAGTTTTAAATTATAGCATGAACGTAATTGAGCTAGTAGTATATCTCATAAATAATTATTTTATCACATAACAAGCACATGCATACGTCTTCATGTACCACATCAACAGTTCCTTCTGAAGTTAGCAGAAATAAATACTGAGGAATAATCAATCCGAAGAAATAACTAGAAGTTTGAGAGCTTCTAAAAGGACAGTATTGAGCGAATTCTGCATTCTGACCTCAAAGTAAAAATAAGCGCCAAGTTCTTTCCCAACTATACTCGCACACATAGTTTCCTACTGAAGAATGCAGGAGGTGACCAACTCTTGAGACAAAGCCAACAGGAAAAATATTTAACGAGGCAAAACTGTTGCTTCACTGCAAATATGCTACTGCTCACAAAAAAAGATGGCAAAAAGAAAAAAAATGAATCTGTCCTGTAGCCCACTCTAAAAAAACAACAAAGAAAAGTACTGCACTCTAGCGGTCCAACACAGTACACCAGCTGCCGCACCAAGTATCAGACTAGTCGTGTTTTTCACTCTACCGACGAACATAGGACTGGAAGTACACGCTCAAAGTAAATTCTCTTTACGGTTGTCAGGAGAGGCCAAACGAAAGCTTCATCGAAATCCACGCATATGACCTCGATTGAATCATCCATGCTAGCATAAATAACAAGATCACAGGTCTTCACATCAAGAAGAACCATCCCCAGCTGCATCTGCCCATAGAAGGTGTGGCGCTTCTTTTGGCTGTAGGTACCAGCCTCGTCAGTCTCCAGAAAATCACAGGTGGCCAAGAGTGCCTTTGCAGTCATCATTTCTCCCTTCTTGGGACACTTGATTTCGATCAACGTGCCTGGTCGCGACCCCTCGAACACAACGCCATCAGGGGAGCAGCCGAGCCAGGGGTTTTGTGGCGAAACAACGAGTCCACACGTAAAAATGTCAACTCGTCGGGTCTTTGCATACTTCTCCCGTGCCTTTGGCTCGTATCGTAGACCATGGGCCGTTGCGGCATTGCCACGGAATGATGGCTGCATTGTGGACCGCACCTTCTTTTCCCAGTTTCCCAACTTGTAGGTAGAGAGGGGGGTAGCATGTTGTTCCTGCAATAAAATGTAGCAAGCAGGTGGTTCCTGGCTTACATTCCAGTAAATACAGCACATAACGTAACAAAATCTGCCTCTCTTGCAAGTCAGGTTACAGGCAGCACTAATTTAATGCACCAGCCATGCTTCTTAGGTCATACATGACACGCCCAGGAACATGAGTGGAAACTACAAAAGCCGGCACCGAAGCACTTGCACGGTAGCCAGGCTTTTGCTCCCTGGTGTACATCCTGATTAAATAAGACCAATGTCGCTTCTCTGATAACTCGGTAAATATTCGTTCATCAAGCGAACCAAGTAAATGAATGCTCTTCTGCTTTGGTTTGAATTATTAATCCTTTTGCTGTCTGCATGGTGTGGGCACAGGAGAAAAATGCAGGCAAATTCACCATGACTAGGCACAACTGCGAGGGAACAAGGGAGTTCTTGAACTTTCCATACTCCGAAAACCTTTTTTGAAAGCGAGCTGCACCTACCGTGTCCAAATGCAACTAGAGGAATGGTAGTTTCCAAATAAAATATTTATCTTAAAACTTCAATTATTTTTAACATTTTTAATGTTTCACATTATAAACGGTTGAAACGCGTGCAATTACAGTATGGAAGCTACCCGAACCTTTCCACGACTCGATGTTTGGTTGTTCCTTTGAATCCTTATCTAGATAAAGATTCGTCCCATTACTAGTTATTAATACACAATAGACTTGCCTGTGATCCGGCAGCGACGTTCCATCATCCAGGCTGCCTTGTTCTCTTTTGTGTCCCGAAGCATGACAGCGGCTGTTTCAACAGAGACAGCGACTTGTTGATCGTAGAAAGAAGAGCAGCCTTCCGGAGGAGAGGCCGGAACTGCGGCAAGCCTTGCCAAAAGATCACTGCCTTCGGCGCACTCTATGACCTGCCTGTACTTCTCGTCCAGCCTTGACGGTTCCGGGACACTGGAAATAGACCACAAGCCAATCTGTACAGTGAACATGATCAAATAGAGCCTCATGACAGTGGCTCAAGCGAAAGTAATGCATAGAGATTCTGCAACCTTAACTTTGCTTGTTTTTCTTTACTATAAAACACAGACAAAGCTCATGTTTAGTATAAATTTTATTCAAATTCTTGTCTTATGCAGACCCCACACCGTTCCAGCTTGCATGTATAGTAATGGGATATGAAACACCAAGCTACTATGAGAGAGATGTTTGTACAGTCCATCAAATGCTGATCCATTGTTAAATCTGAGATTATCTTACTTACTGCACCTGCTACATTGCTACATTCTAATTCATACATACTGCACATACTAGTCCAAGGTTAAGGCTCGTTCCCATAGTTGTGAGCGAGTGTGACTACGACCGCTCACTACGACGTGCGGAACCCATCATAGGGAAGCTGGGGAAACACGAGAAGTCTCTACCTTGCGCACCCTATCATCCATGGGTAGGAATTACAGCTTTCGGCAAAACAAAACGAGCAACAAACTGTTGTGTGGTGCATGCGGCCTCTCTTGGTGAAGCGAAAGTTGTGCCGGCGGTACACCAGCGAACCTAGTTGCAATAATCAGGCACCTAACAAGTAATGAGTTTTAGTTAGAACATTACCCAAACAAAGGCGACGGCCAATGGGTTGTAATGAAAATTGTGCTTCATATGTGGCCGAAGTTTGGTTAAAGCTCTCCCCGTGTAATTCGGAAGACAGTTAAGAAGTCCCAAGCTAGAGGCTCCACATTTCAAACCCTCGTTGAAATAAAAATTGCTGATAACAAACGGCCCCTATTTTTCAACAGATCCAGTGTGTTTGACGAATTATGTGATTACAAAGCAGGGAGGAAAGCAAAAAAACAGTGTTGAATCAACATGTATTATTGCGATCATAGCGACAGCTGGCTTTGCCGAGTACCACGACAAAACATTTGTGCTAAATTCTTTTTACCTCGGAAATTGGGACTGAAAGACCAAAGCATTTGCAGAGATGCGATTGGTCGTAGTCATTTTGGAGCAGCTATTGGAGCAGCCAAAAGTTCATTTTGGAGAAGCAAAAAGAGCTTATGGAGCATAACCGCACACTTCATTTTCATCTATATCACTGCAAATGTGACGAGGAGACGGCAAATATTAAAACAAACACTAGCTGTTTAGTTGTGTGTGGAAGCACTGGACATGGTAACAAGACGGCGACTGATGAAGGACAGTGCAAACTGCCGTGAGTGATTATTTTAGGTATGAAATCCCACTGAACAAATGTTGAAATACAATCATTTTGGACACTTAGATTTATCTGTCCTACAAGTTCTAGGGGGAGGGGGGTTGTAACAAAGCTGCAATTTATAATTCAGACAAGAAACAAAGAACAAAGCATAAAAAATAAACCTACAAAAGCATGGGCCACGTCTCGCTCTGGAGGAGTACCTGTCCCCTTAGCACGCAGGCGCGCTGCGGCGAAGCAAGACACACAACATCACGATGCCTAGTTCGCAATCGTCGTTTCACTGCAGCACACCAGTATGCAGTGAGAAGCGCACTCAACAGAGCTAAGTAACCCACCAGAACAGACCACGAGAGTTATTGCGAAACTTCCGAGTACTGTCAGTGCTTGGTGCAAAATCTAATCGAACAGTAAGTTATTTGAGGCGATTATCGAAAGTCCTGAAAACCCGCACGAGCCTACCGTAACGATCCGGCCCGGTAGCAAGGCCTGCAACTGTTATATTTTCAGTATTTTTTAAGTGAACTTAAGTTCTGGCGCAAATTCCTCACATTTTGGTCAAATGTAGCAGGGTAAGCACTTTGGCGCAAATGGCGCAGCAATCACATCACCCATTTGCCGCTCCCCCAACCCCGGTATCCCCGCTTGATCAGCGACATCATTCCACACAGCACAACCAAGCAGAGCAAGCTTCCCCCTTATGCTTACGGGATCATCACCCGACCCATCAAGCTTAGCCACCCCTTCAACAAGTGGCCAATGGTATGATAAAAAGAAGTAAAGCGGAAAATACTTGTCCTGTCGGTATTTTCAGTCACTTATGAATGCCATTCTCGAAGAGTCGAACACACACACACACATCCTAGGTACAAATT